ATTAATGTTTGATGTAATTAATGCGTAATTAAGATGGTCAGCAACAGAGACTTGTTGCAGCTGCTACACGGCTCTCGGTTGGCCTCAGTTACATGCCAGAGACACACACATACATGTACACACATGTATATTGAAGCATTTCCGCTAAATGGTGGCCAAATAGTTAAAAATAGTTAGCCACGCCCACCAGCAGACAAGTTCAAAGTGCCAAAGCCGCCAATGCAAATTGCAGTCTCTCAGTCCAAATTGTTGGCCAAGAAGAAACGGTTAGTTTTGACCATTAAACAATAAGCCATGGGAAACGAATAATAATGAAAACGATTTCTCAAATATGTTATATATAACGCTCAGCTCAAATATCGAACAATTTGAATATTCATTAATCTTTGGCCGCGTGCGCAACTGTTGAAGCGTTTTCCTTGCCAGCCGGGTTAGGGGCAGAGGCAGGGCAGGGGCAGGGGCAGTTGCGGGCTGCTTTAGTGGAGCAGCAGTTGGCCCAGGGCAATGCGTTTATGCGGGCAGAAATTAACAGCAAGGCAAAACAATTAGTGGACACCACAAGCAGCAACAACAACAACAACAACAACAACAACGATGACAACAACAACAGCAGCAACACGCATCTTATCATTTATCTTAGCTGCTCTGGCTATTTATTTGGAATGTGCCGCAAGTGCCGCGAAAATTAACGCAAAAACTTTTTTGACTGGCTAATTGAGCGCGGCTCTTGGCCAAAAGCTCAGTTTCAGGCCAAGACCGAGCATGCTGCATAGTTGGAGAGCCTTGTAGCCAGTACAAATAAATTTAAAAGGGATTTACTGGGACACAAAAAATAGAACCCATTAGATTAAAGAAATCATCTGTGTATAATTATATGTCAAATGTGTGTTGTTTTGTTGAATGTCTAGCTTGTTAGTTTCTTTAATAGTTTTTCTTTGATTTTATAGGGCATTCAGAGTGCGACTCATATTGCCAAAGCTTCGGTGGGGGAAGGCGCCACCTGTGGGGCGCTCGTTTGGCTTTGATATCGCCGACACAGATCTGAATCTCGACAAGATCTTATGAATGGCAGGCGTTTTATGCATTTTGGATGCATTGGATAGCCGCTGGCGGATTATGTCACATCCGCTTGCCGCAGCCCAAGACGGATGCTTCACTATGCTTGTTGCTGTTGTTGTTGTTGTTGTTGTTGTTGTTTGAGTGCCTGGCCATTAAGATCGAGTGGGCTGCGCTCTTGAGACCAGAACACAGTGGCTGCCATTGATGCGGACTGCAAGTGCAATGCGGCTCCATTAGCGCCACTCGAGGCGAACTTAGGTGTTGTTGTGCGGATGTGCCGCAAGATGTTGCTGATCTCTGATTTCCAAATGTGAATTACAGACAGGCCCAAGTCAAGGGGGCACAGTAGGAGATGGACAGAGTTGGGCGGGGTTGGGCTAACAAGCATAATTTTTTTGGCAAGGCGGCGGGTTGATGACGAAGGCGACGACATCGACGTCTTCCTATTCTCGAAATGCTTTTCAGCTGCTGCTGTTGTTGTTGCTGTTGCTGTTGCTGTTGCCGACAGCAGGGGCCAGAAATAGCGTAAAACTCATAAACGGCTGGCGGCTGCTGGCTGGGTTTGTCGAGGGGCAGGTGGCGTGTGGCAGCAGCGGCAGCAACAGCAGCAACATGCGATGCCATTTGAAAATTTCATTTCATTTCGTTATAATTTTCTATTTCCCGCATGCCAAACGGCCCCTAGGTAACACTACCAATGTGGCCCCTTGAGCGACCTCTCCTCCCCTTAGCTGGTACCCCCGTCCATTCCCCTTGCCATCCAATGTTGACTAGTTGTTCATTTGGTTTGCTGCGTCTAGCGCCGGCATTCATACTTAATTACCAAAAACGAAGAGTCGTCGCAGTTGTCGTCCGTTGTTGCTGTTGTTCTTGTTGTTGTTGCTGCTGTTGGATCTTCTCTGGCGTGACGCTAAATGAGCAGCGCCAAAAAATCTTCTGACCAGGTAGCCAGACACCAGGCCACAAATGATGAATTGTGGGTGCCGTTGAGTAAGTTTGTCTCTCCGCAACGTAGGCGTTGACCTAAATAAATAGCTGCTGCTGTTGCTGTTGCTGCTGTTAAATCGTTTTCCGCTTGTGCAATCGCTTGCTAAACATTCTGCGGCGACAAGTGCAACCGGAGCAGCTATCGGAGCAGAGTGAAAATGAAGCAGCCAAGTTTTCCACTTGGCTGGTGTAAGTGGAAACTCACAGTCAAGGTTTGAGCGCTTGCATTCGATATAACTACAAATATTGTCAACTAACGTATACTAACGAAATTTATATTCTAGCTAGCTGCTTGGCGCGGTGACAAAACATAAAACCGCAAATTGATTTTCAATGTTGCACTGGGCACATTCGCATTATATAATATTGTAAATAGATAGAAGACGGGGCCATTGTGGGCTGCACTGATTGAAGGTGTTGCTGCCGTGACAGCTGTTGTTGTTGCTGTTGCTGCTGTTTCGATTGCTTCTGGTCTACGCTTGGCGGCATTTCGAGCACTGCCAGTTTGTCTCCGCTTTTAACCAAAACAAACAACCAGCAGCAGCAGCAACAACAACAACAATCGATGCTGTTGCTGTTGCTGCTGCTGCTGCTGCTGCTGCTGCTGCTGGTAACGACGAGCACACAAAAGCAAATGATATTTTATGAGCAGCTAATTTACTTAACACCTCAGCAACAACAGCAGCAACAGCAACAACAACAGCAACCGCATAAATAAAGATAAAGAAAGAAAAAATTCAACTATAATAGCCCATGCCAAAAAACAATAGAAGCCAGCGAGCAACAGAATAAAACATTTATTTATTTTTTGTTGTTGGTTGTTTCTATTTATTTTTCACATGGCCTTTTTTATTATAATTTTATATTTGAAGTCACATTTCTGGCTGCGGTTGTGTGAGAAATGAAGCTGTTGCGTGGGTGCAAATTGGACAATAATATTGGACCAGTTAATTCATGAAAATACCGATTCATTCAAGTTCAAGAAAAATCAATTTAATTAGTTTTAAGCAGAGCGGAGAGGGCACAGTTCCGGCTGTTGTCGCCGTCGTCATACGGTGCGTATGCTTAACTTGGCTTGAACCGGTTCGCAACTGCGTATTTGCGGCAACAGTTGGTCGGGCTTCTTGTAAACTGTTTATGGCTCTTCATATTGGGCTTTTTCTCTTTTAACTTTATAATTTCTTGTGTGGAGATGAATCGCGACTGACATTGATTGGCTCGATTTTATGGCTATTTGGCTGACGATCTTCGGCCAGCGATTGATTTATGCCATTGATATGCAAATTTCGTTGGCGAAAAGTGAATGCTGTGGCGGGGCGTGGGTGGTTGTTTCTATGTGGATTAGTATGCATCTGGTGCATGGACAGCATTTAAGCATCATTTAATGCTAGACATTTGCCAATCAGCAGTCAAAAAAAAAAACAAATATATATATATTTATATATATGTATATGCATATGGAAGCAGATGCAAATTTTGCGCTGCGTTTGCAAACAAAGAGCTCAACAAAAGCCGCAGCCCAAAGCAAAATAAATCAATCTCAAACTGAAAAAGTAAATATCCTGTGTGCCCCTGCCGCCCTGCCACAAAACGCTGCACAGCCCAGTTTCAGTTCCATTCATTGATGAAGCTGAAAGGAACAGAAGCGGGGGCAGCAAAAAGTAAATAAACACAAGCTGAGAATGGAGCGCAGGCCAGAGAAAGAGAGCGTGAGAGAGAGGGGCCGCTAGGGAGCTATGCAGAGAGAACAGCTGATTGCAGCTGATTTCTGAAACAAAAAGGGCTGCCACTGCCTAGCCCTCGCCCTCGCCCCCGGCCGCTGCGGGCCGCGGACTGGCTGTGTGCGACAGCCATGACGGAAGCCAAAGAAGACGCAGCAGCAACAGAGGCAACAGCAGCAGCAGCAGCAAAAAATGAATTAAAAATCTAATTGCGACCGCGCTGAAACAAAGCAAAGACGAGCAAAAGACAATAAAAAAATGAAAACCGACAAGCGAGGGCGGTGTCGGGGTATCCATACACACACACGCACACACATATACATGTACATATATATCTTTAAACTCGCATATTGTTGAAGTCGGGATCTTGTTGGGCGCACTTAGTCGCGTTACAGACGCAAACGCAAACGTCATGAACCGCAACGCAACAATAATTACAACAACAACAACAACAACAGCAGCAACACCAACTTAGGGCTGGGTACGCCAACCGCAAAGGTCGACTGCAGATGCCAAGACGACAAGACGAAGGCCAGAAGAAGAAATGAGTTTTCAAAGTTTTTCCAACTTGGGGAACAGCACAAAATTAATGCGAATTTAATTAAAATGTGCAACTAGCAACAGCAGCAACAGCAGCAGCAACAACAATCAATTCTAGAGCTGAGCTTTTCTTGTTGCTGCCCAGCCGCCAAATTGTAGAGGAAACAGAAGAAGAAGAAGCAGCAGCAGCAACATGCTGCCTGGATGCGAACCTGGCTGGAAAATTGCAATCGTCGGCGCATGTGCGACGGCTCCAACTATGTGTGTGTGTGTGTCTGTGTGTGTCTGTGTGTGTGTGTTGCATAAAATTATTTCGGTCTGGTGGATATTAGCAGAGCGTGAAGTTGGCAAATAAGAAATTCAGCATAAAAAAAGGTAAATTTTCATTAAAGAGCAAAGAAAACAAAAAAAAAAAATGCGCAAAAAAATGGGTAGAAAGAGGTGGCTGCCACTCAGATAGAGCGAGATGAAAGACGTCGATAAGACTCAGTTAGAGGAAGATAGAACATATCGATAAGACATTGGAAAATGACTACAAAAATCTATTTGAGTCAGATCGCAGCAAAGACTTTGAGGTCTAGAAAACTATATCTTAAATTTAGACTGAAGTTATTTCATGGAGTTTTATAGACAGTTTTGAACAAAATGTTCAGCTCTTATATTATGATATATTATGGGTTTGATTGGACTCACCATAAGTTTCGTTCACAGCCATTTTAACTGCTTCGAGGACGGCGGGCGTAACGCGTGTGGGCTGTCCCAGGATGGAGAAGTTGCCGGAATTGGTTTGCTGCACAAACATCATGTAGGTAATGTCAGAGGCCTGCTCCAGATCGTTGCCACGTACCAGACCCCGCGGCAACAGACGCTCCCTGTAGATGTCGCACTCGCCGCTGTTCTTGCGCAGCGCGAACTGCAGCCGGACCAGCTGTGGCAGCTGCAGATTCTTCTGCTGTTTGTACACCTGCAGCACCTTCATGGTTGCCGAGAAGTTCGTCCGCCGATCGGCCGACATTGACTTAAAGACACCCATAAAGACGGTGGGCGCCACATACGCCAGCTGAGCGGGATCCCGCGCTGAACAGTAACGACCCGCCCGCTGCCTGTTCCGATGCTTTTGTGGATGTTTTCGATGCTGCTGGTGTTGATGCTGCTGATGCTGCTTCTGTTGCTGCTGGTGTTGCTGCTGCTGTTGGCGCTGTTGCTGCCGCTGGCGGCGATGCTCGCGCTTTGCCTCCTGCTGCTGCTGCCGGTGGCCGCCACCGGCGCGATGTTGCCGCTGGCCATTCCTGTTGCCGGAGCTGCCAAAGTCGCGGCGATTCCGCGCCGTCTGTTCCTGGCTGCTCTCTGGCACTTCATAGGACTCAATAAAATAGCGTTGTGTTGCCGTTGCAGTTGCTCCTGCCTTGCTGCTAAAGTTGTAGGCAGCAATAAGTTGCTGCAGCTGCTGCGGCTGCCGCGCAAAGTTGCTGAGATGCTGCTGTTGCTGCAGCAGCTGTTGTTGCTGTTGCAGTGCATGACGTCGCGTTTTACTGCTGCTTGCCGCCACGCTGGGCATGCCATTATTGTATAATAATTTATATATTTGACTATTTATTAGCGTATTTGGAACTTGTTGCTGTGACTGCTGCGTTGTCACCGCAGCAATATGTTGCTGCCGCTGCTGTTGCTGTTGCTGTCGCAGTACAGCCGCATCGCTATCGCTGCCTGCGTCGAATACTGTTGCTGACCTAAACTTAATGTTTTTAAAGCTACTAAGACTGCTGGGCCGGCTGGGCAGCCTACTTAATTGAATATTATTGTTGCTGTTGCTGTTGCTGTTGCTATTGTCGATGTTGCTGTCGACGCTTTCACTCCTCCCGCTGCCATTGTCCGCCAGCAGCTGCTGCTGCTGCTGCTGTTGCTGCTGCTGTGGCAATGCAATATAGTAGCTGCTTTCTTCTGATTCCCATGATCTTTGCAGCTGATGTGTGATTGTTTCTGCTGCCGCTGACGCTGCAGCTGCTGTTGTCGCCGGCGCACATGTGATCAATAGCAACATGGAGATTGCTAGCGATATCAATGGCATTAGTTGCAGTTGCGTTTTTAGACTCCATTTGCGCACATGTTGCGCATACATGGCGTCCTCCAAAATTGTTGTTGCTGTTGCCCTAGCTTTATTTACAAATCAACTATCGATTGCTGTCTATCGCTTATCGTTAGCTAGTTGCTGTTGCTGTCGCTGTTTGCTAGTCGCTGCTGCTGCTGCTGTTGCGATTTGTTGTTGCTGCTGTTTGTCTGTTTATTGCTGGCAAATGTTGCCGCCGCTGCGTCGTCGCTGTGCCTTGTCGTATTTTCGTTTATCCTGCAAATACTTTCGATAGTTTCGTAGCATTTTGAGAGACAGCAACAGAGAGACGCGACGCGAGAGAGACACAGAGAAAGAGAGACACGTTAAGTGAGAGTGTTAGAGATAGTGAATGTTTAACAATTTCTAGCATAATATTTATGAGCACTTTGAGAACTTTTTTGGCTGTTGCTGCTGCTGCTGTTGCTGTTGTTCTTGTTGCTGTTGCTGCTGTTGTTGCTGTTGCTGCTGGTGACTCATTTTGGCCCGATCGTCTGCTTTGGCAATGCAAAATATGTATATGTATATCTTTAAATAAATAAATTGCTGCTTGTGTTTGTTATTGTTGCTGCTGCTGCTTTGCTTGTTCGTTCGTTCGTTCGTTTATTGTTGTTATTGTTGCTGCTGTTGCTGCTGCTGCTGCTGTTGTTGCATTTATTTTGCTTAGAATTATATGATTTGATTTTATTCGCGTTTCACTTGAGCGCCTTGGAGTCGACGCACTGAGCTATGATCACGCCCCCCTCTTTGAATGGACTTAAGGTCGTCGCGTGGCGTTTGGTTTTAAGTTTTTGTGATGTTTTTGCTGCGATTTTTTATTCCATTTGTTGTTGCTTTGCGCGTTTTTCACGACGTTTTTCACGCGCGCGCGTTTCGTGCGCGTCTCGTTAGCTCTTCGGCTGCCGTCGGCTGCAGCCGATTGGCTGTTTCGTGTGTTCGTGCGTGCGATGCGACGCGTCGTTCGTGTCGGTGTTGTTGTTGTTGTTGTTGTTGTTATTGTTTTTGTTGCTGTTGCTGCTGCTGTTGTAATTGTAATCCTCGCTGCGCGCGCGTATCTGTGAGATACACTTTTTTGTATTTTCGATAATGTTAATGTTTGTCTCGCCGTATACGCGATCTGTCTATATAGACGTAGCCGTAGTCGTAGTCGTAGCCGTAGCCGTAGCCGTAGTCGCTGCCTGATTCACTGTCGAGTGTTTTCTGGCACACACACACATACACTAATACACGCACGCTGTCTCTGTTGTCGCTGATGATGACGATGATGATGATGTTGTTGATATAGCAGACACACAGACACAGAGTCAAACAGACACACACGCACGTACAACACACCCGACGAAGACAACACACACGTTTTCTAATTTTAGACAAAAGTAATTATAAAAGAAAAAAGCAGAGCAGAGTGCGCCGCGTTCAGCTCATACGCATATATCTTCTACTCTGCCTAGATATATATAATATAAATATATATATATCTATGTATATATATGCATATATATGCTCATATATATGCTCTATGCGTGAAGTCGATTATATAGCAGGATCGTCGCAGCATGCATATGTATGTATGTATATTTCACACGCACACACTCAAAATCGATTCCGATCGTTTTTTATATATGCACACACACACACATGCATATAAGTATATTATAAGTATATATATATATTTGTGTATCAGGCGTAGACAGACGATGTCAGTTGTTTGCTGGACGGAGAAGATGATGTTGCCTATGGCAATTGCAATTGTTGTTGTTGTTGTTGTTGCTGTTGTTGTTGATATTATTGTGGTTAGTGCAAAGTTTGTTTTTTTTTTCTCTTTTTTTTGCCGAATCTGTGTGCGGCCGCCTAGCTTATCAATCAATTAAAATCAGTTCGAAATCGAAAGTCCTTTCACGATAATCGCTTTTTACGCCAAGTGACGAAATTCCCGAATTTATTCACTTGCACTGACAAATCGATGTTGATCGCAAATTTGCGAAAGAAATTGTATCATTCATAAAGCCGCTCGACTTAATATTGCGGTCGTAGAATTTTTGAAAAAATATTTTCGTAAATCAATTTTTATTAATTTTGTTATACTCCGCACTGAATAAAATTCAATTTGAAATCCACATACACACGCAGCCTAAGAGTTTCGGTCTGCAGTTGAATCGATTCAATATTTTTATCAATGCTTCTCGGTGTTCGGTCTCTGAAATGTTTTTGTATCTTTCGCCGATTTATTTTTTTTTTTGGTTTGCGGTTTGCCGACACGCGCGTATCTGACCCGTTGCCTTTGACTGTTTGCCGCGGACTAACACTAACACGTAACTCGACACGTAAACGCTTACGTTGCGCTGCACAAGTCGAACCGCCAACGCATCGTAACCAGTCAGCGAACCGAACATACAAGATCGTTAGCAGGTACCGCTGTTATTGTAAATTGATAGATTTTCGCCTACTAGGCTAAACAATTGATTTCTCAAATTTTCCCAAGCGAAATTAATAGCAATTAAAGTTAACTAAACAATGCAAATTGTTGATATGTTACCTCTGACAAATTGAGTAATTTAAACTAAAGCCAACATAAACTGTTAATATTGTATGTTGTACTCAAAATGGCTATGTTAAGCTCCGAATGGCACTGTTACATGCATTCGGCTTGAGTTCGATGTCTGAGTTTGATGTTGCATGCTTATACGTTGCGCTCTCTGCATATAAGACTAAAAAACGATGCCAATACTTCGAGTGCATTCAAATAATTGATTTAAAATGTGCGAATAAATTAAAATGGGTTTTAATAATTGTTATGCAAAATAATTTGCAGACTTTAACTTTATACTACCACATTCCCAGATATTACTATATGTGGTGTTTGTATGTTATCCCTAAATCTTATTTCTTATTTGAATTATTAAATATCTATTATGAATTTATATTAAAATTAAAATTATAAGGCCATAATAAAAACAATTTATTTAATACAGATTGCCAATTGGAACATTAGAAAATGTAGATCAATTGCTTTAAAATCGAAACGTTTACGTAGCGGATTTGACGTTCAGCGTTACGTTATACGCGACAGTATTCATATTCCTTACGTGAGGACTTTATCCTTACCTTTATTATTTATGTTTATTGGCAGCCAGCAAAATTTAGAAATCAATCTATTTGATGTGCATTACAAACAGCTCGTCAAAGTTTTCACACTTTGAACAGATAATTTCTTATTGTTCTCTCAATATAAGATATAAATTGAATATATAAAGTAAAGCTAAAGGATTTTTTACGAAGTAAATAGTATAAAGTACCTTGAAACAATCGAAATGTCGCTTACTCTCAGCAAATTGAGTAATTAGTAATCAGTTTAAGCAAACTTTTTAAAAAGGGTAATAACACTTTTCAACTTTAAGTAAACAATTTCACTTATTTAGAATCAGAACTCTTTGAATTGGCTTCGCTCTCGCAATTGAATTGTTCGCGCGAGTGTCAGCTTTTTTATGGGAGCCAAGTCTGGTTGGCATATCGCGAAAACGATAAGAAAACAAATTTGATTGGTTGTTGCCAATTATTTAATTTAGATCCATACGACATGTCAAACCGGAAAATTATATAAGCAGGCGATAAGAGGGTTGGTTTGCCGATGAAGCAAAATGTTCTTTGATTAGCAACACATTTTTTTGGATTGTTGTTAATTTTGGATTTCCACAAATTATCTACATGAAGACAAATCGTTCTGAATCCATATGTTTTTCTTCGTTGGCATAATTCTTTTCAAGTTTATTATTTTTCATTGGCTTGATAATATTCTTATAACTATCATTTGGCTCACATCTCACACAAACACAACATAATTAACATCGTAATTATATATTCTATAGTATTACGATAATCGAAGTACGCCAAAGTTGCAAAGATTACCAAGCTGCACGACTGATATTGACCAGAGAGATTAGATTAAAGGCAACTGGCTAACGTAGCACGTTAAGGAATAGCTGGTTGTGATTGTTGTACTTTGTTTGTTAAACGGGTCGTCATCGAAAACGACAACACATTTGGCTAAGACAAACACAAACACAAACCCAAACACAGGCAGACAAAGGCACATGAAAACAAGTGTTTAAAGCGAGTTGGGAGCTCAGCTTTTTCCCATGATTATTTGCTTTATTGTCAAATGTCAAGCCCACAACAGAAGAAGGAGACCAAGTCGTCAGGTGAAGCTGTCGGCGGTTGGAAGTCGTGTAAACTTAACGTTTTTACCAGTTGCTGCTAATGTTGTTATTGTTGTTGATATGATTGTTGTAGCTGTAGTTGCTTTCGTTATTGTTCCTACTGTTGTTGTTGTTGTTGTTGTTGTTGTCAAACAAAGCTTCCACTTGTTCTACGCAGCGCGCATAACAATAAAAGCAGCGGAGGCAAGCGGCAAATAAAAAGCGTAGCACAATAAGATTGCCTCGCTCCAGTCTCAGCTGGTGACAAGTACGGCAATTGTAAGAAAAACCTGAACCTAAACGCTGGCGCTTCATTAGACATAAGCCAGGGTTTTGGATGTAACAAAAAACATAAAATAATGCTCAAAAATTGGTAACTGACCTCTACGCTGGGCTGGCTTCCAGCAAACCCGATCTAATCTGAATATAATCTCCAAGATATGTTATCGATTATTATGAATGAATGAAAGTCTATCGTAAAAGGCAACCGATCCTTATCTTAAGTCAATGCTGATTCTCAGTTTTTTGTCATTTAACGAATTGAAAGACCTACGACAATTAGTCATAATCCGTCTAATTGCCAAGCTGTTTATATGCAAGTTTTTCTTATCAATTTTAACGCCAACAGCAAAAAAAAACTTTGCATGGAATCGAAGGTAGTATTTAATTATTGGAACATTATGTCGTATAGCTGCCGTAGGAATGATTGGCCAAATTTTAAGCTTTCTGGGCAATCACTGTTTTTTTTTTGTTTTCAAAATGTTCGGATTGAACAATTCTTAAATTAACTAAGTGACACGAACATTGTGTATCTTATCGGGCATTTAATGTGACAATATGGCGGCGGAAGTAGAAGTGGAAGTAGAATCATGACTTGATAACAGAGCGGGAGCATCAGGAACAGCAAGGGCAGCAGCACCTGTCGCTGCTAGGCGGAATTTAAACAGGTAGACAGCGCACGAATGAATGAATGTTTGAAAAGCTGCAAACTGTCGGCAGAAACAATCAGACAGCATTGTTTTCCACTGGGGCTGGGAATCAACTGCTTTGCATCCAAGAGTTGCGGAAGTGCAGGAAATACTCGAACTCATGGACCTCAACCTCAAAGTGCGCGCATAAACAAACTGCTGAATCCGGACAGAGGCAGAGACAGGGGCCGAGTCAGGGGCGGGGGCAGGGGCAGGGGCGGGGGCAGGGCCAGAGGCCGGAATGGAACGGGAACCAATACTGAGACCGAGACGAAGACCGAGTCGGAACCTGGCACACAGCAGACGGCAGTAGACAACAGCTGCCAAGCGCAGCGTCATTGCATCATCAACAAACGCACACACACACACACTCGCACACCAAGTAGAATAACAATAACAACAGTTAAAACGCAC